TGGAAGGATGGTCCCAGCACACCATGTTCCAGCTGAGACGCGGAGAGCAGAGTAACTTGCCCTAAATCACACGCCTGTAAATAGCGAATCCCTCCCTCTGGCCCAAAGCCATACAGTTCCCACGCTAACCCATTACCTGCCCAAGGCTTCCCCGTGCCAACGTCCGTTCCCCATTCTTTTTTTTCTCTTTGTTTATTGATTTTCTTTAGAGAGAGAGGAAGGGTGAGGAATAGAGAGGTAGGAACATCGATGATGAGAGAGAATCATTGATCGGCTGCCTCCTGCACGGGATTCAAGCCCTGACCTACTGGTTCATAGGTCGACACTCAACCACTGAGCCACACCAGCCAAACCCATTCCCCACTGTTAATCCCTCATAATTAGTCAACTCAGACTGTTTCGTATATTTCTCTTTTTACTCAAAAAAAAAAAAAAGTTGACAATAACCTGCAAACCGTAGAGCGTGGCATAGCTCTCAATCTCCCCGCCCTTCTGAACACCCTCTGCATTCCTCGGCCAGCATCCTCTCCCCTCCCCTACAGCCCAGATGAAAAGCCCCAAGAATGTGCAGGAGGCCCCAGGTAGGAGGATCCCAAAGTGAGGAGCCTTCAACAGGTGAAGGCATCGAGGAAATAAATTAGGGGAGCGGAGGCTCCTGGGTGGGCCTGCCCAGCTCTGTCTCACAGACCCAGCGGTAGGGCCTCCGGCAGACGTCGTCATTCCAGCGGCCATCGTCTGTGAGGTGGGCACAGTCCTCGCCTCCCCCAAGCCCGTGCCCGGTCCAGTCGTCCGGCTGATCTGGCCTCCAGTTCCTAAGAAGACCAGACAGATTGGGCCCCAGGAGGCCAGACCCTCGGCCCCTCTTGCCCTGGGACCCGCCAAGCTGGGGCAGCAGGGCGCAGGGGAGGGGGTTATAGTGGAGGCCGGTGAGAGCGCAGAGCACACATACTCACTGGAAGCCCTTCTCGTAGTCGGACCCGTCTATCCATCTCCAGGGCCCGTCTTGGTCCGTGAGGCCCATCCAGGTGTTCACAGGGCCCATGTGGTGCTGGACAAATTTCTGGGGAGAAAGGAGGAAGGTGACCTCTCCATAGAACAGACAGACTCCCCGAGGAGCCCTCCGGAGCCCTCACCTGCTCCTCCGAGGAGCCGACCACCACCAGGTGCCCATTCTCCAGCTGGCAGTACTTCTCAGCCTCGGGCCAGGGCTTCGCCGTTCGAGAGAACCAATAGCAGCTGCCTTCATGCTCCACCCAGTTAATAGGG